TCTTGGATCAATACAGAGATTTTAGTTGTTTTGGCGAAATTGCCTCTTATTTAACATTTGCATTTGCTATTCCAATTTCAAGTTGTTACTCCAGATATGCTGAAGTTCATGCAGGAACTTCGAAAGGTACTGCATTGATTGTGGTGATAACCCCTGAATACAACGTGGAGTGGTTTTCATAAGGCCTTTTTGGTTCATTCTTTCTCTTTTAAGTGGAAAAATATTGCTTATGTTGGCTGTTTTCTATAATGATAACAACTTTACAGCTTGATCTAACTGCATGTTGTTACAGTTGGTGTTGTTAGAGGGTCTGACCTTGTTAAGATATCAGAGTAGCTTGGGAACTCAGGTTTGCTGCAATAGCTTGTAGAATTTGGAAAGTTTTTGGTGTCTTTAGTTGTGTTTATGTGCGACTAGGTCATTGTAGTTTGTCCAAACCAAACCTCACATTTCAATTTTGTTCATGTGGTAATAAGATGCAATTTTTTCTTCATTGTGAACTAATTAGTTTTCAAAGGTTTCATTTCTTCATCAACAATTACATTTATAGATAGAATATAAGTGTCAATATGTTTAATTTTTTTTTTTTATGATTAGGCTTTGGTAGATTTAGGAAGTAATAGAAAAGATTGTGCTGGTGATTTGTTTCTTGGATCTTGCTTACTTTCTAAGTGATTTGGTTTTCTAGGATTTGCATTTTTATCCATGACCTATTGTCCAAAAATTTGGGGTATAATAAGTTGATGAGTGTGAATATTGTTTGCTAATTATTGTTTGATGTGCATGTCAGTTGTTTAAGAGAAATCTCAAATTTGAATGATTAGTTGATATTTATTACCCCATACTAGTAGGAAACACCACTTGGGGAACATTTTACTTCATAGAAACATTAATGGAGAATGCCAGTGTGTATACTAATCAGTTTGTGAATTTGTCTCAAATTAGGTAAAAAAAATTCACTCCGAAAATTTCAAGTGAAATTATGGAAAATTCAATTACCTTGTTTGGCTTTGATTGATTACGTGCATCTAAAAAATAAAAAATTTTCTTAAAATATTAAAATTTTTGACTAAAAACAAAAAAACACAGAAAACAAAAAACTCAATTTTCTGAAACCAAACAAGGTAATGTTTCTTGTGAACTGTATGTTCTTTCCTTGTGGGTGATCACATTGTTTATATGATTTGATGCAATATAAACTTTACTGCTCCATTTTCTTTAACCTTTCCGTTTTAGTCTTCTTTGTCTTGGTACATTCTATCTTTCAAAAGTACTTTAGAAGTAATATTGTGGTTGACTGCTTGACTTTTTACTCCATATTTGCTATATGTGTAGTTATAAATGACTGTGACTCTGTATTTGCAGAAAATGGTCTTGTGGCCTATAAGGATAAGAAGCTCATTGGGACCCAGATATTGTCTAAATCTATACCGAAATTATTTATCTAAAGTTCAAGATTCAAATGATACTTTTAGAAATATGTTGACAATGATTCAGACAGGTCTTATGAACAACTAAGGTCTTGAATATTTTAGACATAATTATACAAAATGTAGGAAAATTGGGTTTATAATTTGGCCTCTTCAATGGAAAATGCTATGCCTTGATACAACAGATTAAGTAGGTTCTCTTCTGAACCATTTTAGGTCTGAAAAAGGTAGAGAAACAATAAATATTTGCTAACATTTCCAATATTGTTTAAATTAAATCTGCCAATTCATCTCCTTGAAAACTTAAGATTCCTAAGCAATGGATTGTAATTTTAATACGTTTTGCAGAATGTTGTAATTGCCTTAAGCCATATTTATATACTTGGTGTCCACTTTGTTATCTTTTCCATTTTTTGTTCTTTTGCTTACTTTTTTTTTTTTTTTTAATTTCTTCCTGGGTTCGTAATTTTGCAGAGCTTGAGATCATACCTTGGAGAAGAAAAACTTAAGGTCAGACCCTTCTCCTGCTCTTTCCTACATCCTGAGTAGGCATGGTAACTCACTAAGTAAACTGCATTGTTATTAATTAGCGATTTGAAGAAAGCCAAGTCCCCAAGGGGACACTCTAGCAGCTTAGGCAAGACCTAAGTTCGAATTTCTTTAACTTACCAATCCAAAAAAAAAAGAAGAAAGAAGGCAATTTGCAAGAAGCCAAAGGGACCAAAAAATTAGAAAAGTTAGGATCATATATTTATTACACTATCAAGGGTAGAAACAATAAAATACGCCCCTATCTCCATCCTTCAGTAAGATTACAGATCAATATTCTTGTTAGAAACATTCATTTTTTTCCAAGTTGTTTATAAATTTTTTGATTTTTTTGTTGTTGTTGTTATTAAATTCAGTTTAGGTATGAAAAGTTATGTTGTAGCCATTAGATGGTAGGCTTTATCTATATATGTACAAAACATTTATAGTACATTATTAGTTTATGGATATGACATTTTAAAATAATTTGCTAGAATTTATTAATTTTACGCTGCATTACATTGCCAACTTGGATATTCCAATAAAGAGGTTTGTGAAGTGCAAGCATGAGTGGCAATTATCCATGGATGTTAAGCTTCTGAGTCCATTTCTTATTCAACTTCTTCATTAGAGGAACATTTATAGAGTTCCGAAGTGGGATGCTCAATGTATCACCAATTGGCCGAAACTGTAGTCAGGAAGAATGGGATGAGTATGAAAAGTATGACAAGGTACAATATCTTAAATTGTGATTAAGATTAAGTTTAAAACTTGGGTCTCTATAAGAAACACAGTTGATGTTGAACCTCTTGAAAATTACTTTACTGAAATTATATTAAGGTTCTGAACATACGCCCTAAGATGGTGTCTGTGCTCTGCGAGAAATTTGCTCACCTTAATCTCACCTTTTCCATTGGGGGACAAATAAGTTTTGATGTGAATGAATGTTATTCCTTGTTTATGCTTTGATGATTCTTAAGCTGATAAAATAAATGATAATAAGTCATTGCAGTTGAATTTATGTTTAGGCATAACGCTTCCATGTTTTAACAAGTTTTCCCTCAAGGTTGGGACAAGACTTATTTCTTGTGATATGTGGATGATTTTCATGAAATCCACTTTTTTGGAGACAAAACTTACAAGGTAACAATTTTATCTTCTCTCTTCAGTTTGGTTATTCCCTTCATTTTTTGGTATTTGCCATGTGACAGTAACTTGTTATTGAAGGTTCGATTCCCTGTAGTGATGTCTTGTGTTGTGTTGTATTGTATTAGTTCATTTTTTATTTTGCTAACTAGTTTTTGGTACACTGTTGGGACTAAACGAAGGGCTTGGATGTGGCTTGAATAGGGAGGAAATGACCATGAGATATATGAATCAGAGCGAACCATGGGGCACACAGGTCTGCTCTATATTTCAGCTTATTTTTGCAGTTCAATACACCATGGAGTTCTTTATTGCCATAGCATCTAGAGAACCAAATGCATTGTTGATATGGTTCCATTTGCAAAGAAATCTAAAATCTTCAATCAAGTTGATTCATTTTGTTTCAACAGCATCCACATGCGTTTATTTCATTTGTTAAAGTTGGACAATTACTAAAGAAAATGGATCTATCAACAAAAGAAATAAAATTGATGATATTTTCTTATAACGTTCTGAATGATTTTGTACATAAAACATGTTGTACTTGTTTTAAATGATACAGAAAACAAAATGGATTAAATATTGTAAGTTGAGATGGAACAGTTTCATTTTCATTGAGTACCCAAATGTTTTTTAAATGGATATCTATGTCAATGTTTCTCTTTTACCATTGGGTCCTCTATAACTACCAAGGCCTTATCTTGGTTAGCACCCATTTTGGTCAACCCATCAGCACTCTTGTTTCGTTTTCTCAATACATGTTGCACTATGTAACCGCATCTGCTGATAAGAAACATTGCATCTTCTACCAGGCTCTTCATTGGGACACAAATTCCACTTTCAACAATTCAATGGCCTCAGTGGAGTTGGACTCAATGATGAGGTCTTTGTATCCCTTCTCAAAAGAAATTGCTAAGGCTATGTAAATTGCTCATAGTTCTTCTTCGAGACTTGTACATATGTCCAGCTTGTCGAAGAATCCACAAAGCCAAATACCCTTCTCATCTCGGATTAAGCCACCAAACCCACCTTAATTGCATTTAACACAAAGTGAGTGTTTGGGAAGTTGCTATTTTAGTAGGCTATTTTAGTTTTTGACTATTTTACTAGACTAAAATTTTAGTGTTTGGGAAGATGATTGGATTTTTTTATAATTAGATGTGATATTTGTGAGAGAAAAAGTGAAATGATTATGAGTTTGATGTGACATTTTGTCTTTTTGACTATTTTAGCCAAAAAAGCTTCTTCCTAACACTCTCGAACTAAAAGTAATCAAAATTTTCAATGAAAACACATAGATAAATAAATAAAAATAAATAACATATATTAATTGCATGAATCACCTCCTCTCACAATATTAGTAAGCACCGCACTAGGCATGAAAATTATAGGGGTGCAACTCGGGTAGATTTAGACGGTTGTTTAGGCTTATTTCGAGTTGTTGGATTTTTATTTGATATAAGATTTGGATTAGAGAGTGTTATATGTATCGTAGGCTTTATTTTGGTTATTTAAATTATTCATTTTGCAGTGACCTTTGGGTATATCACCTAAAAAATAAAAATAAAAAATTAAATCAATATGTTAATTGTAACAAATTAAATTTATTGCATTTATGACCAAAAAAATTAACGACAGATGTATTTTTAAATATAAATCATTTATTATTTTTGGTGACAAGTGTTATATATTAAACATGCTATAATTATCGGATTAATTAAATTTTTTTTTTATTTATGAATGTTGTGGAGAAAAAAAAAATCTTATAAAATGAAGAATTTGGGTAATGCTTGTGGCGGGTCCCACAACCGTTTTGGCAGTAGTGATATGTTTTCTTTTTGCTAACAACACACTACTAAAACGCTCTCTTTCACAACCTTTAGCGCCTGGTGGTATTTAAATCAGAATTCAGCCCTCCACGCCTCTTTAAAAACGCTCCTCACCAAAATTCCATGGCGGAGGAGGATGATGTCCCTGATCAGAACCCTAGGTTCTTCGTGGCGGTGCACGTCGGCGCTCACGTGCCGCCGAACGAGAAAGCTCTCAGGTCCGCCATGAAACGTGCCTGCCTCGCTGCTGCTTCTGTTCTTCGCAAGGTATTTCCTTCGGATCTCCTCTCTTTCCCTCCATTTGGTTACCGAGAATCTTGAGGAAAATAAAGGAAAAGGAAATTTAAACTAGAATATCTTGAATCTATGTATTATGTCGTTTTGTTTGAATTCTAAACATTTTCTAACTATTTTCAGTTGAAAAGGTAGTGTTTGGTTCACTGGAATAGAATATGATCATTTCATCACAATGTCCATTCTCACATTGAATGAGTGTTAAGAGGATTTTCTTGGATGCTGCTCAGCAATTTCCATATTGCTAGATTTGCTTTACCATGAACGCGCAGGTTCACTAAACGAAAATATTTAAAATCACTGATATTTTTATGCTAGAAAAAATTATGGATCTTAATGACAAAAGCTACTCTATATTTATTTTCAAAGCGACTTTTAATTTGAAAAAAATAAATTAGTTTCTCTTCATCAGTCACAACCCCATGCTATGCCTCTTAACTACATTGTGCTTGGCAATGGTTCATCTGCACATCAATGATCCTTATTGTTTTTTTACTTCAAGAACAGCCCACCCTTAGAAAACAGTAAAAGGAAACCTTAACTTAGAACAAAAATTGACTTGATTTTCCTGTCTTGGCTATTTGTTTTCCACGATCTTTTGTCTAAGTCCAAATCAATAGAGGATGATATGTTGCTGCAGGGCTTGTTTCTGAATCTCTGTTGGAATTATATGCCTCTAACATCCTTTTCTTCCTCTTCCTTTTCAAACTATGGTATTTAGACTTTAGAGTTGTCTTATAGTGATTATTTATTGTTGCATTATCTTGTCTGCTAGAAAAAAATGTTTACCTAAGTCATCCTGAGCTTAGCTTGAATCAAGATTGCTGCTTCATTAATGCTGTCGTCCCTGTTTGAATCTTTTATTGCTACTATATTGGTGACTTAATGCAGTCAACAAGTTGTTGTGCGGAGTTGATATTAAAATAGAATGACCCCTAGAGCTCACATGAAGATTGCATAATGAAGGCTCATCATAATGCCGCTTTGATTGGCAGATAACAGTTGAGCAACCATGATCAAGATGACATACTAGAAATAAGATTTGATTTTGGAAGCAGCGTATAACTGAGACATTTCTTAGTTAATGAGATGTGTCGAGCCCAAAATACTTGATACATTTTTTGGTGGGGAGAGTGGGTTGGGTTTGTGAATGGGATTTTTAAATGCTCTACTTGTGCAACAATGCAACCAATCCAATCTTTTGCATATCACTTGATTGGAAAACTAATCTATTTTCAAGCCACAAATCTGAAAAGTAATAGTAGTGGGTGGTATGAAGAATTCTTTATTTTCTTTTGTATAAGATGCTTACATGCAACTTGGATTTCGTGGAAAAAAAAAAAAAAGAGTAAGAAATTTTACAATGTGGACTCTAAAGTCATGTCAAGAGTTAACTGAAACTCATTGATTTTTCTTTTCTTTAGTATTTTGTGAAATTTTTGGTCTTGTATATGGTAGATGGAATTACACATTTGAAACTACAGAATAGTACAAGGATATTTTAGCTGCGTAATAATTGGTTTGGAAGAATATAAGCTGTAGTCCATGGGCTGTCTGGGCTCGTTGGATTGGTTCAAACATAGTTCAAGGATATTTTAGCTGTGCAATAATTGGTTTGGAAGAATATAAGCTGTAGTCCATGGGCTGTCTGGGCTCGTTGGATTGGTTCAAACTTAAGGGGACCAATACAATGCCCTAGGGGGATGGTTGGGCTTTGATGTTGTAGGGTTGTTGGGCGGGTTAGATATGCCTCTAGAATATTCCTCCTATCTGTTTGATGTGGAAAGAGCCATTTCATGCAATGGAAATTTTCTGTAGTGTTTCTCTTCTTAATTCTGTCTAGCTATTGTGAATTTCATTATTGATAAAGTTTGTTTCTTTAAAGGATGATCCAAGCACAAATGCTGGGATTGGCTCAAATTTGACTGAAGAGGTCATGTGGAATGTGATGCCGGTATCATGGATGGTGATTCTGGGGCATTTGGGGCTGTTGGAGCGGTGCCAGGTATTCTTGAAGTATAATTAATGAAACCATACTCTAAATAAGTAAATAAGTTTTTATGTTGTGAGCTTCAATTTCTTATGTTCTTTGGCTTTGATAATGTTATGGAGCTTTCATTTTCATTTTATGCTCTTCATTTCTGTGAAGTTAATAATTAGTAGGTGTCCGGAATGGTATCCAAGTTGCTGCTTTGTTGGCCAAGGAAAAAATGTTGGGTTCAGCACTGCTGGGTCGAATACCTCCCACGCATGATTACACCTGTGTTATCTTTGAATTTTGATATACAAATTACCTCTTTATGGCAGCATTGTCACAGTACTTATTATTTATGTCTTGTGGATTTTTCATTGGGAATTATGAGTAGTGCAACATTATTTTGTTGGAGATGTTATGTAATGCATACTATATGTGAATAGTGAATATGAATCTGCCTTCTACATGTGTTTAGTGCTTGTAAAACTCAAATCAAATAAAGCCATGAAGGGTAATGTAATGGGTGAAATTAGTTACAGTCATTTGGTCTTTAATTCAAAATTTCAAAGAAATGATTTATTGAGGAGTCCATTCCAAGTTTCTGATAAATTAGTTTCTTACTTCAACATCATGCCAAATTGGATTTCCTCTTTTTCTTGGCTACACTGGTGATCCTTGGTGAGGAGTTAGTGTATCTCACTAGGGCATGCCATTTGTTGTTCTCCCTCAGATTTTTGTTTTCTTATGAGACATTTTTTGTGTTTCCTAGCTTCTTGGTTGGTAAAGGTGCACGTATGTGGGCAAAATCCAAGGGTATTTCTTGGCCGACAGGTATACTGGAGGCTGATGAGGTAAACTCTCCTAGTTTTTTGTCCTATCTGTCTAAATTTCCATTTCCCTATATATCAATATTTTTTCTTGAATACGTTGGTTTTAAATTTCTTTAGTAATCTATTCTTTATTCTGGAATTAGTTATCATACTTGTGCATTTTTTGGAAACAGTGGCTGGTTACAGAGAGGGTAAAAAGACACTAGGAGAAATACAAATCAATGCTTGATGATGCAGAAGCCATGAAAGAAAAAATTGATGGAGAACTTTCTTCTAGCACTCAAGAGGATGCTGCTGTATCAGGTACTCCATGCCATTTAGATTTTAAACAGAACATTCCCGTTCCTCCCAAAGCTGGCAATAATTAAGTGGTGTACCATAACTGAATATGTCAATTACTTGTTTCATGATAAATATATTTGAGAGAGAAGGATGTTCATGCTAAATATGTCAATTTCATTTTTTTTGGTATCCACAATCATGTGGTGTACCATAGCCCCCTCCTCCCCCGCATCACATATTACACTTTACCCCCTTCAACTATCACTCAATATCACTCTACCCCCCTCAACCAGAAAATTTTATACTTTCTTTGGTTTTTAAACTCAATCGTTTGGGAAATGGATTGGCTTTTTGGCTTTTTTGACTATTTTAGCCTGGGCTAAAAAGCTTGGTTTGGGAAGGACTTTTTGGCTTTTTTGCTTTTTTTTTTTTTTTGTCTTTAGTAAAACTTTTTTCATATTTTAGTAATAAAAAAATTAAAATTTTAAATGCACCTAAAAAGTAAAATATTTGTAAGGAAATCCAAAGGAAGTTTACTAAAATGAAAAAATAAAAAATGAAAAACAAAAAACTGGTATGTTAATGTATTTTCATGCATCTAGATTACATGTACTTAAAAAGTACAAAAAAGAAAAAGATAAAAGAGAGACTAAAATATGAAAAGTTTCACTGAAGACCAAAAATAATATGAAAAATAAAAAGCTCAAAAACAATTTTTAAATACCAAACCACACAAATTGATGATGTTATTTTAGGCATTTGATTTGAGAGGTCATGTGCAAATCAGATGTCAAATTTTCATTTATCTAAGAAACAAATTGTTTACATTGATACAAATTTGTAAATCTATGTGGCAAATGTAGCATTTTTTAGTTGAAGAGTAAAGTGATATTTAGGTGATACTAGTTCAAGAGGGTAAAGTGTAATTTATCCCATAGATAAAAGGGTATTTCATCATAAAGGTTTAGATTGAAAAAAAAAAATAGTAGATGAGGGGGGTTAAGTGTTACAATATTTAGTTGAGGGGGTAAAGTGATACGGGACAATAGTTGAGGGGGTAAAGTGAAATTTTACCCTTGTTGACTATGTCAATTACTTGTTTCATGAAAATATGTTTTGAGAGAAAAGGATGTTCATGCTAAATATGTCAATTTGTTTTTTTTTGGTATTCACAACTAAATATGTTACAATGATAAGTATCAATTACTCTTTCTCTCTCTCTCTCTCTCTCTCTCTCTTTTATGGTTGGCTGTTTTATTAAAGTTTATTTTTAATTTATGAATGTTTTTGCATGTGTTCCACAAACAGAGTTCTACCATGTGATCATTTGAACACAAATGGAGATCATGGTCAATTATGTATGTTGAATGTGGAGATGACTGCATTATGGACACTGTCGGGGTTATTTGTGTTGACACTGAAGGACATATAGCATCTGGAGCTTCACATGTTGGCATTGCACTGAAGGTGATTATCTGCTTTGTTTTTGTGGCATTTTCTTGTTATATATGCAAAGAGTTTCTATATTATTTGTCTCAATTCCTTAAATTGTATCATTATTTTTCTAGTGTTCTTATTTAGTTAACCCAAGTATGGCAATGGTGGTCGAATTGGTGTTCTGTGGGAGGAGTTGACTGGGGGCCATTGATGGTTTGGTGGGGGCTTTGGTATATGAAGTTGTGTGTGTGTGTGAAGAGAGAGAGGAGGGGGATTCAGAGGCTTTGATTTTAAAAAAAAAAATTCGGTTCCTCGATGACATTTTGTCCTCCCAAGTTCCAAACAACCACGCAAAAGAAATGCTTTTCTTGGTTGTGAATGAAACCTTGAAGTGGTTATTGGGTAGCCAGTTCATTTGATGAAGTTAATCAAGTTTCTAAGGGCCCATTTGGCATCATTTTCATTTTCAATGCTTTTCTGGCTTGTCTTTTATTTAGATTTGATGCCTCTGTTGATCACAATTCACACCTGAAAGTTGAAATTTGCATGACATCATTTCTAAAATGGATCATTATTCAGTTAAACTTGAAATTTATTCTTCAAATATTTTTAACTGATAACTGGATGTGTGGGATTAGCAGCAATGTATGGCTCCGGTTGTTAGACATCCTCAAAAGGTCCATTTGGGGCTCCATTTATAGTTGGTTGTTGCGTTGGTGGTGCTGGAGAGTAGTTAATGAAAGGATTTGCTGCTCGAGAGTGCTGTGTCTCATCATCACTGTATGTATCCTCGTAGTTCAAAAATGTTATTTTGTTTTATTTTGGGAAGTATAATCAACAGAAAGGGAAAAAAAAAAAGAAAAAGAAAAAAGAAAATTGTATCTAAGAAGCGTGCAATTTTAATTTATCTTTTACTACAAAGAACATTATATTTTCTTGGTATGAGGTTAGTTTAATAGCGGGATATTTTTGTAAAGGTCTTCATGTTTTTCTGATTTTTGTTTAGTTTAAAGCTTTCTTCTATGTATTTAGTTTTCATTATTTATTTTTGTGTTAAACCTACAAAAATCATGTTCTTTGTTTCCATTTATGTATACCCCCAGCTTGTGAATCTAACATGGTTATTATTTTTGTTGCACAGGTCGCAGGCAGGTTTGGGCTCTGCTTGCATGAAAGTTTTACGCTCTGTTATGCCAGATAGTAGCCATCACGGTACTGATAAAAGTGCCCAAACTCTAAACAAGCCAAGGCTCCTATAACAGTGAGAGCTCCCAACCCTCAACCTTAATGGTTTTTTAAAGGAAAAAAAATGACTTACTATTTGTTTGTTTCTTATTTAGCTTCCCTGGACTTCACCTAAGATGAAACCTATAGAGATTGCAGCAGCCTACACTTCCCTGTCTTTTGGAATAGGTTATTTTGGAAGCTCTATGGAGGGGCCCAAGGTACTATAATCTGTTCCAAGGAATATTTCTCAGCTTTTATTGTTGCATATGAATTTTCTTCTTTAATTGATATATTTAGATCAGATTTTAAGATCACAGTGAGTTCAGTTGATCCCTGCAGATGACATTTAACTATGAATCATCTCATTGAGAGTAAACCAATACGTAGTGTATTAATTAGGTGTGAAGTGTTCGTTAACATTTACTATATATGATGATTTCTTGTTTTATAATTGCACAAATATTTTATATAAGAGCATTTCATAAACTGATTGGAAAAGATTTGCATTTCGTATTTGAACTGTGCATTTCGTATCAGTCATAATTGTAATGGTGGCATGTAACAATTTGTAGTTTGTCCTATTCGATTCTTCCTTTTTTGCTTTTTCATCTCCATATCATGTTATATTATGTTGGTTTACATTTATCGATTTTTTTGCTGATTACATGAAACAAACAAGCATGCTGCAATTCAAACCGAATTATGCGTTTAATTTTTTACTTAATTGTGTGTTTAATTTTTCACTTATACGAAGCTTATTTATTTTATTTATCTGTTTTTATGCAGGTCTTAATTCTTAGGACTACAAAACAACAAAATAGGACTGGCATAGACTAGTTTGCCACACGAATTGATGTTAGTGAAAGTAAAGGATAAAATATCCTGTGTGCTAAGATTTTGATAAGAAATTTAAAATTTGGAAGTAAATCAAATTGGTTTATTTGTTTTTTTCTTTCGAGTGACTTGTCATGTTTCAAATGGTCAAGTAAGGCAAACCTAAAACCTGAAAGATGTTCATTTTTGCTCATGAGAGAGATCAGCACAATTATTTTATGTACCATTCTTCCGCAACATGATAATGAGCTTGTTTGGTGTAGAAAATTGAAAATGTGTGAAGCCTTTTTCATTGGGCTAAAGGCTGAGCTCGCATGGTGGACGTATGAGTGGGCCAATAGGCCGCCTCTATGGGCTTGTGCCCTGGCCTCCAACCCTTGATTTGCTTCTTTTTTAAATAATTTTTCTTCACCTTTTTTTTTTTTTATATATAATTCTTCATGGGCTGGGCTGAGTTGGGTTTCATATTTAAGGCCCAATCTCACTTGTGCTACCATGTCTTGGATTTGGGCTTTATTTCAGTGAAAGCCCAATGAACTTGGGCTAGGTTGGGTTTCAAGTTCAAGGCCCAATTCTAAGCTCTATCTAACTTGGGCTGGCTTGTCGGAATTTGGCCAATGTTTGAGTAAAATCCCAATGAGCTTGGGCCAGGTTGGGTTTCAAATTCAAGGCCCAGTCTCACTTGGGCTGGCCAGTCCAAGATTTGGGCTGGGTTGGGTTTCAATTTCAAGCTCCAATTTTATGTCCAGTTTCACTTTAGCCAACCTGCCCAGGATTTGGGCTTGGTATAGGTAAAAGCCCAATGAGCTTGGGCAGGACTGTTTCAAATTCAAGGCCCAGTTTTACTTGGGCTGGCCCGTTCATTATTTTGGCCTTGTTTGGGTAAAAGCCCAACAAGTTTGGACCGGACTGGTTTCAAGGACAAAAGAACTATATGCCATTCTCTAAGGGGATTTTATTTATACCCAAAAAAAATTTAAGTACTTCATTTCTCAGTACATTATGTCAAATTATTTAGAGTTTTATGTTAGTCTCAGTACATCATATAATTTTTCTAATTTACCTTTCAAGGTACACTTAAATAAAAATAAAATAATTATGTTTAGATTTATAATGTCGAACAATATTATTTGATTCGGACTTTCAAATTCAAATATGTTGACTTTGTTTGGCAGAATGAACTGGTATAGGACCACACTATGATTCGTCTTTTGGGTCTTTTGTGCCCTAGAAATATCTTTTCAACTCTGCCCATCCTATTACAAAAAGTCTTAGTTTTGATTCATCTACAAATGTGCCCAATGATTTCATCTCAGCTTTCCATATAGTTAGGCAATCTTCTACAATAAAGAATCCTAATTTTGTTAGAA